CAGGAAGACAGAAATGAGGGCTAAGGAGCCTCTGAGTAAAAAATACATAAATAAATAAAAATACAGAGTAATTGAACAGTTTTGGTTAAAAAAATAATATATATATATATATATATATATATATATATATATATATATATATATATATACACGTATACATATAAGTTGCTTTCCAATTTTGATCAGTTGATATTAAAAGAGAAAAAAAAAAATAGATAAACAAAAATTGGAGAACAAATAATGAAGAACGAACTAATAACTTATATACATATTTTCAGTAGTATCTATTTACGATTTTATGGGGACTGGATGGATAAGAAATGATTGAACAGGCGGGATTTAAAGGTAGGAAGGGTATTAGATTGACGGATATGGGAAGGGATGGAGTTCCATAGAGATGAGGATCGGATAATGAACGATTTGTCGAAAGCAGCGTATATAAGACACAGTTCTTTCTTATTTTTTTTTTCTTTGTCAAGTTTAGTGTTAATAAAAATGGAGCGAAAATTATACGAGCAAACAACGTGTTTTCATTGTTGAACATTATTTTAAAAATAATGAAAGTATTCCGACCACAGTTCAAATTTTCGTACAAAATATGGTCGAAATAGCGATTTAACTTAATCAACTGTACAGAGAGTGATTTCGAAATTCAAGCAGATTCGATCAATTGTTGATGTTAAACACACTAGTCGTCCAAACACAAGCCTTTCAAGTGTTTATATCAAAGAAAGACAAGCGGCCTCCACACTTACATTATTTTAAAAATATTGTTCAACAATGAAACTCCATTTTTACTAACCCTAAACTATCAGCTGTTAAATAAATAAATAAAAATAAAACAAAAGAAGAAATAACTGTGTTTTACATTAAATTCAAAGCCTGCGTTAATTTTGGAACATTCACATATAATAAAATTTGGTTGGACTTGACTAATTGAATAAAAGTAGAAGTAACATAAAGTAGAACCTAAAATGAATGTCATCCATCATTATAAAGTGCATTTGGATATTTTCCTACCATTTCAATAATTAAAGTACTATTTTGAAATGGATATTTGTTTCTTTTAAGACATATCTTTTTACTTTGAAATTAAAAAATAATTACAAATAAACTTTGGAGATTCATTTCAAATATATTTTTTGTGCAAGTCTATGCATTCTTTAGGCTTATCACTTAAATCGAAAATGTTTTCATTTAAACAGTATTTGAATATAAATGTCTAACTCTAGCGTAATACTGTTCATTACAGGTTCTCAAGAAAAAAAAAAAAAGGCATTTCAAATCGGAATTCATCACTTAAAAGGAAGACGGAGAAAAAGGAAAAGTATTTGGAAATAGAACAATAAGGAACGAGTTGTTATTCAAACTGGCTTCGGGAAGGAGTGTCATTGTTAATACCACGGAAACAAAACCGATTGCGGAACACCCACAGGACCAAGAATGATTTACTTTAAGATCGGTCCTCCTTGAACTCCTGAAACTACCTTGACTCCTGCGAAGAATTAACAAGTGAAGGAATTTGTACTCAGGGTCGTTGGGAGAATGGGGAGCTACTTAGAAAGCAACTGACCGCAGTAGCGAAGATTTAGAAATTATAAATATGTTTGGATGTAGCTGGAAAATAGTTTTTAAGTAAATTTTGAACTGAATGAAAGTATTTCGTATTTAGGAGCGACCAATTGACAAGTGGATAGTTGTCATGGCAGGTGATAGGCTTCAAGCGAATTAACCAGCCTATGGACGCTTTAGACATCTTCACACATCTATAGAAGAATATGATATATCTCAGCTTGATAAAAACACAATATTGTCCATATTATCATATTTTTAGATTCATGTACACTGTAGTTAGAAAAAAAAAACTTATGTATGTTCTTTATACCACACAATAGAAGTGAAAAAATCAACAAGGTGAGATTAGTTTCTGAGATATTTTAACCCATATCTTCAATAAAACACGGCGTCGTGTCAAGACACAATTTTGAATAATAGTTCACCACAGGGAGGTGAACATTTCCCATCGCTAACAATATGCAGTTCTGATTTTTAGTTTTTGATATATTTATGCAAAAACACTTCTGTTAGTCCACTCTAATCGACTTTACTCGAGCGTTACACATCGGAGATCTGACGGCTCAATCTAATTCACTCTCCACAAAAAACAAAGTGCAAAACGTGCCTAAAGAAGTATTTACTAAAAAAAAAAACTGGTCGTTTATTTTGAGATAGTGTATATCCAATAATTTGATTAGGCGGTATTAAACTGGATAATATTTCCAAGTATATAATCTGTATAACATACTCAGAACAAAGTGTACTTTCTATCTATGTATCTATATAAGAGTTATCATCTCAAATTATAAATCAGTCATTTTCGGAAAAGTCAATTCTTTATTTATACATTCAACTCATATTGTTTCTGATTATTTTATTTAAGAACTTTCAAACTGAAACATGAAAAAAAAAATCATTGAAGTTGCTTTAAATTGAAGCTATGTTACTATTGGTTTATTTTTAAATTTGTAAATATGACAATCCCTTTAATATGATGGCATCCACTCATATGAAATCTCAATAGTTTTATAAGCCCGTATTAAATTCCGTAATATTTATAATTATTTAGATTGCATTTTTATTTTTATTGCATATTTTTAAAATTTATTTAACATTATATATATATGTTATAATGTTAAATGGACTACACGTTCAATGGCCGCGTGACATTCTAGACGTAATTATTTTTCTAACATAAATTTGTTTTAATTAATTGAAAATTAAAAAAACGTTATTAGTCTACTTCAATATAGTCTTCATAGTCGAAAGAAGAATAAAATTATGAAAACTTGCAATGGTTTGATTTAACAACGTTATCATTTAACGAATGTATAATCAAGCTAGCAAATATATGTGTACGAGTTTAATCATGGACCATGACACTTAAAAAAATATATAATAAAGATACCTCTTATATACGTTGTCAATGTTTGGCCTAAGGTATAGAATAAATTTTTATTACACTAATTTATTCAAAAATATTTTAGTGATAGATAATTTTTTCATTAAGAAAATTACTGATTTATTATTGAAACTATTCATTATTCATTAGTTTATTAAAATAAAATAACTAATAATCAAACGTTAAATTTTTTTCTGATTTAAATGCTTCATTTCTAAATTAAACATTCGTAGTTGTCTTTGATCCCTGTAAGTGTTTTGGAGCACTTTTAAAGAATTTAATATGGTATAATTAAATGACTCAAAACTACATATTAAATACTATTTTTTTTATTGAATAAACATTGTTCAATTATAAAATTAATAAAATAACATTAGTAAGTTTATTTTTCAATAAATAAATGAATTAATCATTCTTTGATTGAAATAAATATTATTTGTCATTAATATAATTAATTTTAGGTTATCTGAATTAAAATTTTGCATTTATAAATTACGAATTCGTAGTTTTCTTTTGTTGTCTATAAGGAGCATTTCTAAAGATTTAAAAATGACATAATTTAATTACTCAAAGGAAAATGTTTGTACAAAAGTATGCCTTTTATTTTGATAAGTTTAAGTCTCTTTATGTTCATATACATTTATTTAATTTTAATATTTTTATTTTTCTGTAATTTTATTTACTTTACTTTTATTTGTAGTACATAGAGTGTGAATGAGCTATTTTTTCTCAATTACTAATTTCCAAAATTTTAAACTACTTAATAAAGAAATATAAAAAAAGAAAAAAAAAAAAAAGAAATTGACACAAAACTAGTATTAAGTAATATTTTTTTATATCAAACAAACATTATTCAATTACATAATTAATGAAATAATATTAGTCAATTTATTTTTCATTAAATAAATTGACTAAGACCCTCCGCTCACGAGGCGAGAAAAATTGAGGAGAACTGTGCGTCAAACTCGTCAAATCTTGCTTAATTCGCCAACACAAAGAGTCGAGATAAACTCGAACTGTGCGACTTATGCGATTTTAGCTACAATATATGTGCATATTAATACTTTTTAATATCGGGAATGAAGATTGTTTTTTACCGTTAAAACAATTTTTAGGCAATGCAGAAGTAGACGAAAATAAGAAAATAGTGTAGAAAATTTTCCAAATTTTCATTCGCTTTTATCTTTCGAATGGATGCTAGGATTTTCACAATTCCAATCATTCCGTTAAGAGGAAGAGGAATGGAAACATTAGTGATACAAATTTTCCGAATTTTATTTTATTTTTCCTCTTCTATTACGTGAATGGACGCTAGGTTTTTCATCGTCCCAACAATTTTCCAATTGTTTAGAGTTGGGCGAAAATGGGAAACAAGTGCAAAACTCTTCCGAATTCTGAAAAATTCTGATAATTTTCTCCAATACTGCTTGAATTGGCTTATCTTTAAAAATTGGGAAAATGTTTGGAACAGTGAAAATCCGTGCGCTCATTCAGAAGATAAATGAGGAAAATTGAATAAAAATTGGAATAATTTTCACCAATACGGTTTTCATTGGCCTATCCTTAAAAATTAGAAACATGTTTGGAACATTAAAAATCCAAGCGCTCATTTAGGAGATAAAAGAGGAAAAGCGAAGGAAAATTTTCTACAGCATTTCCCTATTTTTGTCTACATCTACATTGGTGAAACTGTTTTGGTAAAAAGATAATTCGAGTACTCATTTTAGAAATAAATGAGGAAAAGCGAATGAAAATTCGCATAATTTTCACCAATACTATTTTCATTGGTCTATCTTTAGAAATTAGGACATTGAAAATCCGTGCACTCATTTCGAACATAAATGGGGAAAAGCGAACGAAAATTCGGAAAAATTTTTAAACCATAAAGAAGTCCTAAATAAAATGTCACTTATCATACTATAGAAATAATCAAAGAAATAGAAACAAGAATCAGTTTTTATTATTAATAATACGGCCATAATTTTTTTTATAAAGTAATTCATGCGTCAAGCTCGAATTTTCTCGCTTAAACAGTTCACTGCTATCTCGCTTGAATTTCTACTCTCTCGTTAGGGAGATATGTAGGAATTGACTGGGAAGTAGTTTTGTTGGGGCACCGCGCATAGCTCTCTCGATTTTTCTCGCTACGTTGGGGAGGCACTTGTCGTACAGTTCGATTCCATCTCGCTTCTTGTTCAAGTCGTCTCGCTTCGAGTTCGAGTCTCCCTCTCGCTACGATTCCATCTCGCCTTGTTGGGGATCTATGTAGAAATTTACTTGGAAGTAGTGTGGTTGGGGAATCACACATGTTTCGGGGCCCTCTCGTTTTGAATTAATTCCAATTGCTATAAAAATTTGTAGGGTTTTTGTGGTGCGAAAAATGAATATAAATTTAGTTTCTCCATAAAAAAAATATGTACCCCCACATAGCTTGGTCCAAATTATACTAATACTGTAGCTATCAACCAAATATAATATTTATTAAAAATCAGTCTTGTTTCCAGAGTAAATAATTTTTTAGGGAGGAACATAGCTTGTATTTGTTTTTCGCAGCTCAAAAAATGTCGCGAATTTCTCGACGAAATTTTTGCCTTGCTTGACCATTCAAAAATTGTTTGAAAAGAGGAAAAGCGAATGAAAATTCGAAAAATTATCTACACCATCTTTCCATTTTCGCTTACCTAAAAATTGCCGAAAAATTGTTGGAGAACTGAAAACCGATCCTTCGTTCGCGAGTTCAAAAAGGAATAGGAAATAAAATTCATAAAAATTTTCACTTTTTACACATTTTCACCAAAACAAAACAGCTTGAAAATTGTTGTAATGATGAAACACTGAGCATTCATTCACGTAATAAAAGAGGAAAAGCTAAAGAAAATTAGGAAAATTTGTACCACTACTGTCTCCATTCTATACAGTTCGCAAAATGGTTGGAATAGTGAAAATCCATTCATGAGAGAAAAGAGGAAAAACGAATGAAAATTCGGAAACCTTTCTCCACCATTTCCCAATTTTTGCTCATATCTAAACTGCCGAAAAAACTCTTGGAAAAATGAGAAAACCGAAAGAAAATTCATAAAATGATTGCACTTTTTCATTAATTTTCGTCTAACTCTAAACAGCTGAAAAATATATGTGACGATGAAATACCGAGCATCTATTCACCGAATAGCAGAGGAATAGCGAATCTAAATTCAAAAAATTTGTACCACTACAATTTCCGTTGGTTATATCTAAACAGTTGGGAAATGGTTGGAACTGTGAAAATCCGAGCATCCTTTCCCGAAATAAAAGAGGAATAGTGAATGAAAATTCTCTACATTATTTCATTATTTTCGCCTAATTTTACATTACCGAAAACTGGTTGGAACACTAGAAAACCGATCCTTCATTTTCGAGATGAAAGGGGAAAAGCGAATGAAAATTTGGAAAAGGTTTGCACTCCTTCCCCATTTTCGCCAAACTCTAAACAGTTGGAAAATTATTGGGACGATGAATAACCGACCGTCCGTTCCATTATAAAGAGGAAAAGCGAAAGAAAATTAGGAATATTTGTACCACTACAGTTTCCATTGGACTACCTCTTAAAAATTGGGAAATAATTAGAACAGTGAGAATCCGAGCATCCATTTCCGAAATAAAAGAGGAAAAGCGAATGAAACTTCGGAAAATTCTCTACACTATTTCCTTATCATCGCCTACTTTTTCGTTGTTCGAAAATGGTTGGACCACTAGAAAATCGATGATAAAAATCCTATCAGCTATTCACAAGATAAAAGAGGAAAATCTAAAGACAATTTAGAAAATTATCTACACTATTTTCTTTTTTTGTCTACTTCTACATTGCCGAAAAATTGTTTTAACAGTGAAAAACAAAGTCTTCATTCCCGATATTAAAAAGTATTAATATGCATATATATTGTAGCTAAAATCGCATAAGACGCACAGTTCGAGTGCAACTCTCGAATTTTCTCGCCTCGTTGGGGAGGCACTCGACGCACAAGACGAGTAAGTTAAGCTTGACGCGCAGTTCTCCTCGATTTTTCTCGACTCGTGAGCGGAGGGCCTTATAACTAATCATTGCTTGATTAAAATAGATATAATTTTTAATTAACTAAATATTTCGATTAATTATGGTTCTTTAAATAAGTTTTTCCAAACTGAATGAGAGAATAATAAAAATACGGAAATACAAAGAGTTTACTACAGTATCAGGTCATTAAAATACACGACAGGATTAATGCAAGAAGTTTTGTTGAGATGTCACAATTAGTGTTGCCCAAAATCGGTCTTGGTCTTGCACTGGTATTGCATCAGGACTACTAAAAAAAAAATCGATTTTTTAAATAAAAATTAAGACAGAATAGTTACTAATACTTGACAATTGTAGTTACTATATATTAATAATTGGCATAACCAATATACTTTTGCATTTAACTTCTCAAAGTTTTCATTCGGGCTTAGTTAGGTTTCTTCTATCTGAAAATTACAGTAATATCTCTATAGATTAATCTAATAAGTAAATGCAAGACTGTTGCGAGACTCTTGCGGAAGACCAAGACCATGACCAAGACTGTGTTTGCATGATCAAGACTCGTCTCGGTCTATTATTTGGGTAACAATAGTCACATAAATATAATGTTCTTTTATCTGTCACTATTAATATTATAATTAAAGATGAGTGGTGTATAAGTATGTTTTTAACGTATTTAATAGGTTTAAGAGTTATATATTGATGATATATATAAGTCCTGTCTCGAAGCTGGAAGAACGATAGGTTTTAAAGGGTGAAATAATGAGGATTCAAGTCTCTGGAAGATAGCAAGTCTCCGTTAGAAGGAAGCAATGCGCTATACCGTTTCTGGAGTGTGTTCAAATCTTAGGTTAACAGCCAATGCTGGACCTAAGAACTCTAAAGAACAGTGTACAGGTCGGTATCGGTACTTCAAACACATAGATTATCAAAGTTTAAATTTAAAATAATGAAAAAATTACACAAGATAAAGAAAAGTTAAATATAAACAGATTATTTTTAAGAACCCTATACAAATTGAGTCACAAAATAACAAACATTATTATCCTTATGAAAATACCAATTGCTTTTTATACTATATAACAGACATTACAACACTCTTAAGCATAAAGATTATATTCGGTAAAGGTCAGACAGTTAAAACAGTTCTAATTATCAAACTAAGAAACTATTTCTGAAAAGGATCATATAATGTACGTTGATTTTCAGATTTTCTTGCCTGATCTCGCTAATCCCTTAAAAATACTAGGCTTCGGTAATCGACGTTACGTCTATTTCCCCGCTCTAAGCAAGTCTTAAATGACTTCACGGCGTTTCTATGACTTATTTATAGCGAAAATAAAACAGGTGTAAAGTCCAGTGAAATAAAAATTAAAATATTGCTTTTCAAATGATCAAGCCAACCTTTATTAGCATTAAAATATGCCTTTTTCTAATACTTAAAAACTTATCAATGAAAAAATTTGCCTTTTCAGCAAATATATCTTCAAAAATGGGTTTCTCTCCTGTTTTTCGTTTCAAAAGTCACATATAAAGAGATTTCTATACTTCTGGATGACCGCCTAGTTTTACATTTAGAGACACCATGATACTATTTCGACAAATCACACGAAGCAATTCTAGTAATTATTATTACCATATTATTTGCTTTTTTGATATTTCATATCTAAAAATTTACCTATAGATTCATAATTCTAGTTTGATAGTTGTTTTAATTATCTATATAGCTTAATAAAAAAATCCGGCGTTTTAACTCACACGGCTTTCCTACCTATTTCAGAAAATATTTTATGTCTTTAAATAAGTCCATTAAGAAACAAAAAAATTAATTAGATTTATTTTCCTGATAATTGATCAAAGATTTGAATACGATTCCTTTGATAAACTAAAGCAATATAACCGGGTTGTGGAAGATCAGTGTAAACAATTCAGTACACTCTAATATTGCTAATCAAAATATATTTACTATAGCCCAATATTTCCAGGCAATAATTTCTGTCAAAAGCAGAGAAAACCTTACCTAGTATATGAAGGAAAGTAATAAATTGAAGCATGTGTAGAAAATAGAATACGCTGTATCATCGCTAATACTGGTTCAATTTCGATGATTTTTTTTTTTGGTTTTGTAGGTAATTTAATTACCTTTCAAAAGTTTTCATATAAATTTTACCATGGAATATATACTTAGAAAGTTAGGACCCAAAAACATTTTAGTTTTCTTTATAACTTTTTTCCTGAATTTTCTCTAAAATTGAGCGAATCGACGAAAATTGAAAGGACATTAATTAGAAAATCATAGAAAAGTTTCATAAATATCGTTAGAGCTGTTTTCGCGCTACAGTTTTTAGAAAAACATGTTTTTCAATTATTGCACAGGTAGCACCTAATTTATGTCACAAGTATCAGTAGTTCAACTCGTACAAAATAAAAAAAGAAGTATCAAAATCGGTTCACTAGTTTCCGAGATAATCTTGGCACAGACCGACAGACCAATGGCTGAAAAACTGTTTTTCGGACTCAGGGGGCTCTGAAACGAACAGATCAGACGAAAACCGCACATCAGAAATTTGACCCGGTCGCAATAGTTTCCTTACGCAGTATAGTTAGGAAAGAAAACATTCTATCAAATAAATATTTTTTAAATATATTTATTCTAATCAAATTTACCCTATATGTTAGGAAAAGTCGTGTATGGCGATACACTAACGCTATACATATTGAATTCATAATTTTTTGAATAATAATAAACCATTAGGTTTAATTTGCAAAGCTTTTATTTCTCTATTTAACATAAATGAAACAAAAAGAATAATTAAGAGGAAAATAGGACCTCAGTGACGGAGTAGTGCTGTTCACGATTTGATATTTTATTTACTATGTTAATAGTTTTTTCTTTGCCTATGTTCCATTAATGTTAGATTTTAACATATACATTATTTTACAGGTTAGTATTTTGTTCATATTAACCACAAATGAAGAGCTGCATAGCGGGTCGAAATTTAGACTTAATTAATAGTTTCCAGAATTTGAAGTTATTTATTAATTCCCACTGCCAGACTATATTTTCTTTTATTATAGACACGGTCAATTTTATAATTAAGTTTTTTTTATAAATTTAAGCATAACCAAATAAGAATAATTGAATGATCCATTGTGTTGACAGTTTTTGACGAAAACATTATTATAACAAGTAAACACGCAATTACTGTTTTTTGTGTCAACATCAAAATATTAATAAGTAGCAAGTGTTCAGGATCATATACGGAAGAGTCTTGTTACAGTCCTCACTTAATTTATTGCTTTTTATTATCACATAAAATAATCCAAAAAATAATATACTTATTTATTTCCATAAGATTGTGAATCTGAACATTGAATTAAATTATAAATTTTAGATTCTAAATTTTAGAACATGTAAAACTAAGTTCATGGATGGTCGGTTAGTTATGCCGCATAGTATACCTTTTGCGCCAGCTGCAGTTTTAGTTATATGTCCTATTGTACATAAAAAAGGTCTCTTTGTTAAAAAAATTCTTAACTAAGAAGATTTTTTTTTTTATTTGCCCGTACCTGAATCGTACCTCTGCCTAAATATTGACAAAACGCTGACTCGTGCGAATTATTCGTATAGTTTATCTGTCAGCGAATACATGTCAACACAAAATGGAAATAAATAATTGCAATATAGTTGAGATGAGGGAAATAATTGATTTCTTTCCAGTTATACGCAAATTAAGAGGCGTTAGTAGTCCCTTGGTACAGACCGCTTTTTATCGAATTATTAACACACGCCTGAAACTTCGTTAATAGTTTCATCCCATAGTAATCTACAACTATTTTATTTACGATAACTCTTGGAATTGGGGCGTTTTCTTCTTATTTTATATCTACTTATATTTATTTTTTATTTTCAGCTTGTTTTGTATCTTTTGTAGCCCTGAAGACGAAATACAAAGTGGGTCGAAACGTCGACAAAAATTAAAATGACTACTATATTTTAATTTAGTATTTATTTGACCGCACTCCCCGATTAACTCCTTCTCATATTATATCAACGGTCAAAAATCTCTACATCATAATAATCTACACAATGTATAATTCTTCTTATGGCTCCTAGGAGCAACGAATATTGATGAATGAGGTGCTAAAATAAATTTCATAAACAAGTGACCACTAACGTGCCCAGGATTTAGTTTTTGAGGGAGGGGGCTTCAGCCCGAAAGATTTTTTTTTCATATATATGAGGATAATTAATTTGAAGAAAAAATAAGAAAAAGAAATGAACTACCTATATGAAATGGTGTTTAAGTGATTTTTGATGCCCTATTAAATGTAATTACATGAACAATAATACTTTGAGAGATATAAAATATTAGATAGTTTTTAATATTATTTTATATAAAAGATGGTTAAATTTTAACGTTTTGACGGGGGGCTTCAGCCCGAAAGACTCCCCCCCCCGTAAATCCGCCTGTGGGAGTGACTAATCACTATCTCAAATTTTTACGATAAATCATTGAAAAGTATAATCATTAGTGTAAAGTGTAATCATCACCAAAACTCAATCATTAGTATGTCTACGTACCGAGTAGAATCAATTATTTAAAAAATACTTCGACGCCCGAAACCTGATTAATTTCTTGCGTTTTTGAGTCTGATAACTGAACTGTTTTCGAGATAAACCGTAATTCATTTCAATGGGCGTTTTCAATAGGGAAATCTGGAGGGTGGCAAACTGTGTCTATTTAATTAGGTCCTTAAACTCGTAAATAGACATTTGCCTTTTACTTGGATCGTTTTTAAGTACCTAATTAAACAGACAAAATTTGCCTCCTCCCAGATTGAAAACGCACCTATTCCAAGAGTTTTTGTAAATAAAATAGTTGTAGGTTACGATCAGATAAAACTATTTATGAAGTTTCAGGCCGGTGTTAATTATAATTCGATAAAAAGGGGTTTGTACCAAGGAACTATAGAAACCGATTTACTTTTTATTAATTTTTCAACTAACCACAAATATAGAAGAAAATTCTAGTTGTTAATTATAAGGATACATAAAATGTGTAACAACTCTTCTCCAAAAATACATCTCCAACGTTATAAAAAAAACTATGTTATCAGAAGTGCCGAAGGAGTGCCAAAGGAGCTAAGAACTGTTTTCCTATGGTCAAATTCTCAATAGACTTTTAATTTGTTAACTGTAATAAATAGCAATATATTAATTTTGTAAAACCTTAAACAAAATTTGATTAGTTACGTGATAAGAATGACAACTGTGGGACTTATGAGACCATTGAAATGAATTACGGTTTATCTCGAAAACAGTTCAGTTTTTGGACTCAAAAACGCAAGAAATTAATCAGATTTCGGGCGTCGTAGTATTTTTTAAATAATTGATTCTACTCGATACGTAGACATACTAATGATTGAGTTTTGTTGATGATTACACTTTACACTAATGATTACACTTTTCAATGATTTATCGTAGTTAGTAAAAATTTGAGATAGTGATTAGTCACTTCCACAGGCGGATTTACGCGGGGGGGAGGGGACTTTCGGACTGAAGCCCCCCGTCGAAACGGTAAAATATAACCATGTTATATAGAAAAAAAGTATTAAAAACTATCTCTTAAAGTATTATTGTTCATGTAATTACATTTAATAGGACTTCAAAAATCACTTAAACACCATTTCATATAGGTGGTTCAATTCTTTCTCTTATTTTTTCTTCAAATTAATTATCTTTATATATATGAAAAAAAATCTTTCGGACTGAAGCCCCCTCTCCCAAAAATTAAATCCGGGGTCCGCTAGTGGTCACTTGTTTATGAAATTTATTTTAGCACCTCATTCATCAAAATTCGTTGCTCCTGTGAGCCATAAGAGGAATTATACGTTGTGTAGATTATTATGATGTAGAGATGTTTGACCGTAGATATAATATGAGAAGGAGTTAATCGGGGGAGGGGGTGCGGTAAAATAAATACTAAATTAAAATATAATAGTTATTTTAATTTTTGGCGACGATTCGACCCACTTTGCAGGTCGTCTTCAGGGCTACAAAAGATACAAAACAAGTTGAAAATAAAAAATAAATATAAGTAGATATAAAATAAGAAAAAATTGTCAGATACAGAAATAAAAGATGATATCAAAGATATAGTGGATGACAATGTAGTTAAATAGTAAGTATTATATATGTAGAAGATACAAACAAATGGAAATCTTCTATTTATTTATTCTGGGTATCTTCTACATATATAATACTTAAAATTTAACTACATTGTCACCCACTATATCTCTGATATCATCTTTTATTTCTGTATCTGACAATTTCTTCTTATTTTAAATCTACTTATATTTATTTTTTATTTTCAACTTTTTGTATCTTTTGTAGCCCTGAAGACGACCTACAAAGTGGGTCGAATCGTCGGCAAAAATTAAAATAACTACTATATTTTAATTTAGTATTTATTTTACCGCACCCCCGATTAACTCCTTCTCGTGTAGATTATTAGTTAATTGATTCAGGAATAGATAACAAGTGACTTTAGGTTTTCGAAAATATTTGATAAGAGATTGAAAAGACTTTGATAAGAGATAAGAGAGCGTACTCACGTGTATGTTATCGTGATTGTCGAACCTGGAGTCCTTGACGGTGGCGGTGAGGGTGAGGAGGAGGACGAGGGTGTTGACGGCGAGGGAGACGAGGCAGAGGGCGAGGTAGAGGGTCTGGTGAAGGCGGCGCGGGCGGAGGGCGGCGGCGGTGCCGATGGCGCCCGCCCCCAGCGCGGTCAGCCCGCCCCAGAGGCCGCCCCCCAGCCGGCTCAGGCTGCTCCCGTAGGCGGCGCACAGCACCCCGAACACCAGCATCAGCAGCCCGGAGACCGCCTGGAGGTTGGAGGCGGCGAGGAGGAGGCTGCGGCCCCGCTTGGAGGCGGCCGTGCCCTCGCTGGAGGGGGACTTGGCGATCAGCGGCGGCCGTTTCTCGCAGCCGTACATCTCGGCACTGACTGCCTTCCCGCCCGCTCCCCGCCGCCCTCTCCCTTCCCTCCCTCTCCTCCACCGCTCCACTTTCTTTCCCGTGTCTTCTGCTCTCCGTCGCAAAGGAACTGCCCACCGCAGCGACTGCTGGCAGCCGAGAACTAATTTTTTAAAATAGCTGAGCATATCGTCGGTTTATTGCAACCCATCATTAAAGAACATTTAATAAAATTAAATATCATAATACTTTGATGAATATTACCTCTGCGAAATCACAAAACTGGGCAGCTTTTGTAATCGCATTTGATACATATAAAGTCTTGAGCAATTTTTACGCACTCTGGATTTTTGTATCCATCCTAAAATAAAATAAAAAGTAGAATTCTAAGTCAAACACCCAGCTGAACACACCTGTAAGTTTCTAATTTTATTTAATTTGTTGGTTTTCTTTCTCCACATTCCTTTATGTCTATTATTTTATTTATTATTATTTATTTATTTTTTCTTTTTCTTTCAATCTCTCCCGTTGATCTGTACAAATATATTCACATTTGCATTTATTATATATCACACTACATCAATTGTTACCATCTACTTACTTCAGTTTAGGATCTTGTTACTAAGCTTAGTCTGTTTATATTTTAATTTACTTACTGTTTATAATTTTAATAAGCCTATTAACATTGTTTATATTTTTTTGTCTAAATATTATGTAACTTCCACAATTCTCTATCTGTATCTTGTCCGATCTAGTCCTGAAGAAGACCAGCAAAGTCGGGTCGAAACGTTGGCTTTTAATAAAATAGTTTTACCACTAGCCAATTTATGACCGCCACCCCGGACCATCTTCTTCCTTTATAATGCAACGGTCAACTTTCAAATATTCTACATAATTTCTATTAAAATATTATTGTAAACATATTTTCAGTATTAAATTTTTTCTGTATTAAATAATATTGTAAACATATTTTCAGTATTAAATTTTTTCTGTATTAAATAATATTGTAAACATATTTTCTGTAAAGATAAATTTGGTGAATGAATACCGTGGTTTTCGCTTGTCTCGACTTTGGATTTCTCGAGATACTACCCAAAAATGCTTATTTTTTTTCTACATTCTATTTTATTTTTTTCGTTCTTTCTTTTTTTTCTTTTTCTTTTTTTCATAAATAATCAGTTCAAAACATTTCTAGCGATAAAATTAAATGTGAAATATTATCAATCATTTAAGTTCCTGTTGTGGTTTATTTAAAATCACTAAAACTATAATATTTTTAATATATTTTTCTTAAGTTTTAGTCAAACATCATCACGTCATACTCTAAATGCCAAAAAAAAATAAATAAATCAAGAAATTAAACGTTTACGTTGATAGATACGTCCTCTACGCTCTTAATCTTCGATCAGAAGAATGGAGAACCAATTGGCACATTAGTTGGCAAGAGACCAGTTGGATAGATGAAGTCAACAATGCTGCACACCAATGTAACTAGGTACTTCCCGACGGCAGACTCATTGAATGTCAGTAATTTTTTACAGTTATGGGTGAAAAAAAATAAAGCAATAAAAAAAAAAGAAATAGCTAACAACGGACCCAGATTAGGGATGGGATATCGAAGGCCCAAAGCGGTATTGATATCAGTCTATAACTATCGATATAATAAAGACATCGGACTTGAAATATTGATAGTAGATATTTTCATCGATATTATAAAAATAGATAGATATATTTTCTTATACGATGCACTACATTCTATATGAAACAGACAAAATTAGTATTACACGTACGGTCAGACCCCCCTACTGTGCACTCCCCACATTCCTATAAATTGCATATAGTTGTGTTCCTTGTAACTATTTATTTAAGAAAAGCCAATGTTCTCACGAAAAAAATTTAATACACTGACCCAAAATGGCGTCCAAAGATGGCGGATTGGCGACTTTGACTTGAGTTAGTTTTTTTGTCAATGAGAATCAGCATTTGGTTCAATTTCATCATAATTGGACTTTCATTAAAGCTTAATAGTAATAAAATAATAAACATTAAACAATATTAAAAAAATATTTGGGTTAAGCAATAAAAACACCAGAAAAGTTACGTTAAAAAAAATCAAGTTGAAAATCAAGTATTTAAGCCCTATAAAGTGACATTAATGGGAACAAGACCTAAAAAATGTTAAAGAACAATTAATTATACAATGATACACCGAGTTTAATCAAAATCGTTAGAGCCGTTTTCGAGAAAACTGTAAAAATGTGTTTCACCGTTGATATAAAGTGGCACCTTAGATTAGCCGATTTTAAGGAAAAATTAAATTAACATCTGAAGCATATAAAAATCTTAAATATGCAATTTCATATTCTTACGATTTTCGTTTTTTAGCAAGATTGCTAACACACACACGCACATACAGACCATTTTGCGTGAAGGAGAACTCAAAACGTGTATTTCCGATGAAAACTCAGATTAGAAAATTTTCACGATCTAATCTCTATAAGCTCTCTCTCTATATATATGCTTACAACCTATGTAGGGTCACTATCTATCTTAACATAGCCGACATTTTGTATTCCAGCGGCTATATGCTGGCAGACGTCCATTTTTCTGATCAGGCCTTATAATTTATAAGGACAAATCTTAGAATGAAATATGACACTTTTTTTACAAGGGATCCCGGACTATTAGTTATGGCCATCTCGAACCCAGGCCTAATTCATGTTTATTACAAATACATTGATCCCGTTGCTGTTAACTCGCCACTTTCTGAACGAAAACAGAATAAATCACAAAATAAGTTATTATTTTTTAAGTAAGCCACTGCTTAATCTATTTTCTCCAGCCTCTTATTACTCAAAGCCATTACTCGTAATTATAATTGATGCAAAAAAATACAGATACTTTGTTTGTAGTAGGGAGCTTTGAGCAAAAAAATACCATAACTAAAATTTATGACATGATTAATCTTCTAAGGTATTGTTGCTTTCTTCATTACACATTGGCTAATGACCATGTGTAATATACGCCATCAACTTTCTTTTCTAAAGGTCATTAGACACGTATTTCTAGTTCTTGGCGGCCCATCAGCTTTTAAAAATGATATATTCAGTCGTTAAATTGGATATTAGATTCTCCAAGTTGGTGAATACATAAGTAAATAATGACAAAAGAGGAAAGGAACTAAAAATTAAATGGAGATACATTAATGATGGCAAAAGTAAAATTATGCAAATAAGGCGAAAGTTAAAAGATGTGTGGATAACCTAAAGCCGAAAGCTTGAATTGAATATTGAATTTACGGCAGAGCAGCACAGCACAGTGTCTTACATACAACACTACACAAAGTTCTAAAGAAAGCTATACAAATTTTTCAATATGTTCCTTAAAAAAGAGCTTATAAAATGTTTAATTGCCAATTTTTTAGAACATACGTAATTTTGGCACGTTAACAATGACAAACACACCATACATTGATACTATATAAATAAGAAATCATTTTTATAAATGGTTTGTTTTATATTATTTTTTAATTTTTCTGATTTTTTATCTATACAGTATTCTCCTTCGAGCCCTTTAAAATTCATGAATATAACATAATTTCCCGAAAAGAAGCTGGTAAAAAGATACGAGAGATTAAAAATTAGGTGTTCGAAGAACTCAAAAAGTATACTGTTTGTTTTAAGAAAGTTTCTAAAAACAAAAAAAAAAATCACTGAAATCAGATGATTTGGTCCAGAGATAATGCGTTCTGAATATTTACTATATATTCTTTTGCAAAGCCGTTTTTTTTTTTTTTTGGATTTGTCATCAACTGGATCAATCAAGATTGCTGTCTATATCTTTTAACAAATAATTGAAAAATATTGTTATGCGCGCTAATATTAGCAAACATGTTTTATTTATTTTCATCTAAGTGCTAAGAAAAATAAATAATTTGAAAAATAACAATACCGAAATAATAAACCTTCGTTTGATAACTTGTAGCGTTTTTTAAACATTGATAAGTAATAAACAATAAATTATGCTCGGAAAATTGTCATTAATTTTTTTAAAAGTTTTTAATATTACTAAATGATGTTTACATCATGTAGAAGATAATGTGTCGCCTAAATAAAAAACTGTTCCATCCCTGTTAACTATAACGAAAAAAATTTAAAAAGATTCACATACCCTGGAGCCAGGGCCCAAAAATCTACTTCATCGCAGGCGAAGATTTGAATGTAAAATATGAAAGTGTATGCTATTCTAAGTAAAATGAACCTTGTCTACCATTCCAGAACTGCTGCATACAAGAATATCAAATCTAAATAGTCTAGGACTTACACCTCCAATATTAAACGTTTTAAGTGATTTAGGAGGCACTATAAAGTTAGTGTTAGATTTCTTAAAATCAAATAATTTGTTAAATAAAATTTAAAATTGTTTAAAAATTTAATCCAAAGATAAACAAGATTAATTGGCAGGTGTTGGTGACCTGGATGTTTTAAGCCTTGAAAACCCAACAAAGAAACAAACAATTAAGTCAATAATTTGATGATCGAAAAGAGAAATATATTGCGAAAAATGTAGGAAAAGTTATCATTTTTTTAACTTATGTATATGGGTTCAAACCTGTAAAAACTAAATATTTTTTTGTTTTTTCACTTACAGCTCTTGGACAATGCATGGAGGCGAAAACAGTTCTTTAAGAAATTAAAGAACCTTAATTTGTGCGTCAAATGAGTACCTTAATAAACTTAATAATTTGTTTCAGTGGTATGGCAGAAAATCAGAGTCAATGAATGGCAATTTTAATCAAATTTGTAAAAAAAAACTGAGACAAATTACTATAAATGGCCCTGTAGCTTGGAAATGAGTTTTTTAAGAGCAAAAACCCAGATAACTTTTGGTGCTCCTTGGACGATAAATTTGATGCTCTACAGCTTTGATTATATAGGTTTTTGCTCATAGAAAACTCCGTTTCAAACTTTTATAGTAAATTGTCTCAGTTTTTTTTTACAAATTTGATTAAAATTGCCGT